AGAGACCAGACCATCCTGGGAATGTTGATTGACTGAAAAGATAATGGTGGAATTTACAAAGCAGTGTGACAGGAGACAGACTGTCATTAAAACTACAGCAAGACAGAATGGACTAAAGCCTTAAGGGTATAAAGAAAGCAAACGAGAGAGGAAAAAAAAGGAGAGAAGCCTGCCTTTTACCTTTAGCTTTGTAATTGATTTACTTTTACTTCTGGATTATAGATAAAAAAAATGGTGACCACCAGAAAAGCTGCAAAGCAGGGTGAAGGAAGAAGAGATTTGTTAGAGCAACCGACAGAAAAGGACTTTTCTTTTTTCTTTTCTTTTCTTTTCTTTTCTCTTTTTCTCTTTTTCTCTTTTCTTTCTTACTTATTCACTATTCTTCCTTATTTTATTTGGTTCTTTTCTCATATTTGTATTGTTTTTATCTTGTTAAAAAATTCTTCAGTAACATTAATTAAAAAAAAGATAGTGAAACTGAGATGACTTTCTCTTATAGCTGGTTGTTCCAGGGGAGGAGGAGGAGGAGGAGAAGAAGAAATGGGCAGTGTATTCTAGGGAATTTCTTAAAGGAGAAGGGCAACTGTCCTGTGAGCTACAGTTGAGGGATGCGCCTGGCAGTTAAACAAGGGTCTGAGGAGCCTCACCCTTTTCTGTCCTTGTTTGCCTTCCTGTTTTCCTCTTCCAGGTCTTCTTTACCTAGTTTGCACAAGTTCATCTTTGTCTCCAGGGTCATCTTCAGGGATCCGTGGTAGGTCATTTCCATATCCACCCAAAGCCCTGCAGAACAGAAAAGCAGGCCAAAGGAGGGTTACAGGTTATGGCTCGGCTGCTAGGATGCCTGGGACTTGATCTGGTGCCAGCTGGGCTGGATTATCTGAAATGCATATGTAGAACAGCGTTTCTTAAACCTTTTTTCTCTCAGGATCCATTCCCACTTTGGAGGACCCCAACAGAGCTTTTGTTCATATGGGTTATATTTATCGATATTTACCATGTTGAAAATTAAAATGGATGCATTCACTGCTGCTATCACTTCTCATGATTGTTTGATGGGATTTTAATATTGTATTCTTTTTCAACATGGGCTGGCAAATAATTTTGATTTTGCGGGCCCCTGAGAGGGTTTTGGGGGACCCCCAGGAGTTCTAGGGCCACACTTTAAGAAACTCTAGAAAATAGCTGGTGGGAAGAGGAAGAAAGATCAGCTCTGGCTGATGAATCACTTCTAGAACTGATCAAGGATTATGGCTCTACTCTGAATGCAGAAAATCCCTAGTTCCATCTCTCCCTTCTCTGGTTGAACATTTAAGGTCACAAGGGTGGGAAGCGGCCTATACATCTCCTGTCCTCCAAAGCAGATGGCCTGGTTCACATAGCACTCTTATGCCATATGTTTGGTTTAGTTTAGTGTGAGGCATTAACTCTGCCATTGTGACTTGTAACCATGACTCAGCATACTACGTGAACCCAACATGTGCCTTATTCCATAAATTATGGCTAAACAAACCATGGCATAGGATAATGTGTAAACCAGTGTTGTCCAAACCTGGCCACTTTAAGATGAGTGGACTTCAACTCCCAGAAT